ACTGTGCAGGTGGATTAGAGGCCGCGTGGCAGGAGAGGCTGAGGTTTGCCCCTGCACGGTAATAGGAGTCTGAGGGGGAAATGGTGGGGGCAGCCGGGCCATCTGGAGCAAACAGAATAAAGCCATTTGTGATGTAATCAGAGGGAAGGGGAAGCTCCTGGTCTGTACGAGAGCCACAGTATCCTTCTGAGCCAGGTCACAACCTTGCCTTAAAAACTCCCAAACATGACCCCTCTGTGTTCACTCATCCTGATTCTGAGACATTAACCTGTTTGTCCCATCACAGGTTTTTGACCCCGAGCCTCTCAAGACAGCAGCAGCCCGTCCCCTCCTAGTCTTGGCTCAAGGCTGGGCCTGCCCAGATTTGCCTGACACAGGAAGTCATGGCCAGCCTGGTGTCCAGGGCTGAGGGTCTGTGTACACGAATCTGAGAGGGATGAATGTGGCCTGGCCACAGGTAGTGTGGTTTTGGGCAGACACCCTGGGCCAGGTAGGGACAGAAGTTACTCACAGAGAACATTGAGGTAGAATGGATCACTGCGACGGGCACTCACTGGGTTGCGGGTTTCACACTCATAGGGTCCTGTGTCATTCCTTGTGACACGGAATAAAGTGAGAGTCCTGTTGTCCAGGGACAGCTCCCGCCAGGTGCTGTCCAGGAGGCTCTGATTGTTGATCAGCCACAGGTAGGTGGTGTCCTGAGTCTCAGCTTCACATGTTCACACTACACGGTCCTCATGCTCCACGGGCCTGGAGTTGTTGCATGTGACGTTGGGTTTGGTTAACTCCGCTGCACGGATAACAGAGAGAATATTGCCTTGTGTGGGACCTTTGATTCCTCTAAAGGCCGCTTCAATCAGAGTTGGCATCTCTCACCTCTCAGCCAACCCAAGTCCTTAAAAGAATAAGGCAGGTCTGTGTATCCCAAGGCAAATGCATAAGGATCTGAGCACTCAGAGAATGTAAGGCCACCTGCTCTATGTCTGGGAGAAAACACAGACTTTCTCAAGTCAAATAAGCATCAGGGTTGGTCATGGAAAGACACAGGATTGGGAGTCAGAGACCACCCAGTGCTTCTCCTTGTTCTTCACTGACCAGCTAACTGTCTGACCAACCTTGGGGTCCTCACTTGGAAAGTGTGGGTGCTGAGGCCCTTTCTATTACACAGACGTACATCATCTAGTGTAGATGTGTTTTCCCTGAGGCCTTACTTTCCAGGGTTATCCTAGAGATGGGTAATGATGGGCCTTCCTATAGTTCTTAAACCCAGAGAAGACTGAGCAGCATAGCCTGGAACTGGGTATTTGAGCAGAAATACTATACTGGGAGATAAGGAGCAAGCCCAGAGGTCAGTTCAGTACTCAGGCTGCAGGGCCATGAAGTGGGGCATGTCTGCCCAGGTGGTCCATGGTGACTGGCATGGGACAGTGACTCCATAAAGGATAGAGCAGAGTTAAGACTAGAAATGATCCAGAAAAGAATGAGAGCGTCAGGCGGGGGCTGGCTGGCTTTGAGAGCAGAACCATGTGCTCTGCCCTTGGTCTTTAAGGTCTCTTCTCCCACTGCAGAGGGCAGTGAGGACCATGTTGATCTCTCTTGAAATACAAGTAGATGTTTTCAAATGCAGAAGGGTGACCAGTACAAAGGGGAGGAGGTGGAATCTAGCCCTCATGGACCATTTTTAAATAAAATTATTAGACAGAAATCTGAGGAGAAGTTAAATTTTTTCCATACTGAAAATTAATATTAATGCCCCAAAGATGTAACACCAGTTTCTGGAGGAATATCTCTCTAGAGAGCACTAAAGGTCGTAGACCAAGTTCTGCAGTCCAACCAGGATCACGTTATCATCAAAGGAAGATGCTACAGTGGGTTTGAAATCAGTGGCCCCCTGGGTAGAGAGAGACATGTGAGTCCTGTTATGAGGACAGAATTGATTAGGTGGCAAGTCTGACGTGTCTCTGTTACATAAAGGGAGGAATGCTACCAAATTAGTTGAAATGATATGTGTTATGTTAGTATATTTAGGAAAGCGGTCTCTGTCACCAATTTATATGGTCAGTCAGGCAAAATGGGAAGAAGGTCCAAAGCTTGCATGTGGCTCTGTTTCAACCTCCAGAAACATAAGTTTGATCAAATTTATCCAAATTGGGCAGTGTCTAAGTGAAAGGACAGAGGCTGGTGGATCTCACCATCTGTGAGCATCCTACCCTACGGTAAAGGTGTCATTATGAGGACTTATGTGTGTGAAATAGTAGGACAGTGCAGGATCTGGCCAGCCCCACCTTGGGAAGGTCTCAGGAACCACTAGATTAATGGGAGCCTCACCAGGATGAGGATGTGAGTCAGGAGTCAAACGGGTGAAATGAGCCTGTGAGATTTTGAGGACTGCAGACCTGTCCTTCTGCCTTTGACTTCCTGGTTGAATCATGTAGAGAATCATGTCCCTGTCCCATGGCATATTCCACTTGTTGCCATTGTGGAGGGAAAGAGCCCTGGATGGTGGCAC